AATCAACAACTGGGATCTCATCTTATTAAAAAGCTTCTGCACTGCAAGAGAAACCACCAACAGAGCTAAAAGACCACCTACAATGTGGGAAAAAAATTTTAGTAGGTGTTCCTCAGACAAAGGGCTACTATCTAGAATATATAAGGAACTGAAAAAAGTCAGACACACCTTATTCTTTTTGAGGTTTAGCATCGAGATCTGTATGATCGGGGATCGGTTACCTGTCTCCACATTCGTGTGCAGCAGTTCTACTCCCTTCTGCCGTCACCCTCAAAGTCTGTTTGTGTGTAAGACTCTTCACTAGAGTTTACTAGAACCTGAATATATTCCAACTCTGTGAATTCATAGTTACTCAACGTGCAGTTTCATGGTAGGTTTTTCTTTCATGGGTACTTGTTAGTGTGGCCTTATGGAGTGATGGAATTGTCTAGGTGCAGGAGACCTCTAGGTGATCTGTGGGTGAATTCACATGGTTGCTGGAAGGCCTGGTGAGGAAACATTAAAGATGATCTCTGGTACCGCACTCACTGTGTCCCAGGCGCTCTCAGCTTCTGTAGATAAGGAAAGAAGGTCTTCTTAAAATATTTATTTTGATGTATGCCTTGCAATATCTTGACTCTGGGAACAGAACCTACTGTTTCCATTTGTGTAATCTCTGTAATGTTTTGACTTCTTCATGACTAGTAACATGTAGCAGCTCACTGTGTAAGATATAAAAAGAGGAACAAATAAAGATCTTTGTCTTTGGTCCTTGAAGCTCTGACCCCCTGTGCCTCGCTGTTTTGTGTCTTTCTTTTCTAAGTAAGTCTCTCTCCCTTTGGGACCCCCGACAATGGAGCCTTGTTTTAAAATGTGCAGTTTAGGAATTACACAATTCTCAGACTCTACACTGACTTCTTAGTCACTTTCCAAGTTAGGTCTATCCACAGAAGGACTCAGCTCGGTGGATTCCATAGATAGATACACGTGGATACAAATGTCTTCAGCAGCAGTTAGTGACATCCCTGATTCCATTTCCAGTTACAGAGATTTTCAGGGGCCCTCAGAAATGTATACTGATTTCTCCTAGCAATCTAATATTTTTAGTATCTTCAATTGTTTTCCCTGCTTTCAATGCTACCAATTTTAATGCATATTTTGTACTTTTATATTGTCTTTTGTAAACACCATAATCCAAGGGTTTTGAGGGAGATGTTAAGTTTCATCTTTATTTACTTGCTTACTTAGTTACTTACAAATTGGTACCGGGGATCAAACTCAGGACCTTGAGTTTGCAAGGCAGTCATGGTGCCACTGAGCTAAATCCCCCACCTAGTTTCATCATTTAAAAAAAATAAATATTGATCATTTTTGACAGCCTCTTTATTCTTAGTGTGCAAAATAATGCCTACTGTATATTATGCATTGGAAAAATTATTTTGATGGTCATAATTCTCCAAATGCACTCTTCATATTAAATTCTAAATACTGAGATTGGTGATCCAGCTGGAAAATAGCTAACCCAAACGTCACAAATTTCCTTATATTCTCTTGTATATGTGAGTGTGTGTGTGTGTGTGTGTGTGGGTGTGTATGTGTTGCTTTGAAAACTGCCCTTACTAATGATGACATTTGTCTTTTTCATCTATCTACATAAAACCTACCTTGCACCTGGCTTATTTACATCCATCCAGTTAGCACAGGTGATGTACAGTTCTGAGTTAATTATTTTCAGTTATCATTTCTATAACACTTTACTGAATTAAAGAATAACCCATAGGTGCTTGCTCTATTTTCAGGTGCGTGTGGTATTTTAGTTAATTACACACTTCAGGGATATACACATGGCATGGGAAATTCCATTGTCCCTTGAGAAAGAGGATGCTTCCTAAGGTTTCATTTGCTAATCCATAGGAAACATAAGCTATGGGAGGGCTCACGAGAGGTTGGTTTTATATATATATATATATATATGTACATATCAGTGTTTTTTATTTGAATTTGTCTTCATAGAGGAAAAAATGTTAAGGATTTATTTATTTGTTTATTGCTTTTTTATCTAACAGTTGTTAATGTTTACCTTTAATTATTTTAAGTTATCTTCAGCTATGTACTTTGAAAATTTTCTATAATTCTGTATTCCATTTCATCATTCATTGAAATTGGTTCTTAGCAAAGGACAAAAACTCAAGAGAAGGGCATGAAATTTCCAAATCCAAACTTTTAAAATATTTCCTTTTGGTAAGATACATTTATTTTGTAAAAATTGTTTTTTTTCTCTTTATTTGAATTATTAGTTTTTCTGAATGAATCATATGATGATTTAGAATACTAGAAGACATTAATCCAACTGTATATTCTACCATTCTGTTTTATTTGCAATGCCATCTTATATTTTGCAGAGAAAGGGCATTTCCAGGAAAAGTAGTAAAATCTTATTTCAAAATTCCATTCCCTTAATTCAGCTTGGGACTTAGAATTCTTTGCAGTAGATAAACCTTCTTTGTTATGCAGTGGGACTCTAAGGAGAAGAGGCCTTGGTTGAGAAGATTCTGTGGTGGGAGGCCCTGGGTGAAGGATCTGTGTTGTCCAAGACAATAGTGACTTCCCATGTACACCTACCGATGACTACTTGGAACTGGTTCAAATGCTGAAGACTTAATCTTATTTAATATTAGTCAATTTCAATGTTTACTCAAATATACCCCTCCAAGTATGTGTATGGCATTGCAATGTTTAGATGTCTTACAATAATATTATCAGCTTGAAAGTCAACGTTTAGCATGATTTACTGAATGAGGTTTGTATTTTGGTAAAAATTTTTGATAGTTCCTAAACAGCATATGAGCAATCACAGAAGGCAGTTTAGTAGAGTAAATTGTAAACCATCAATTTTCACAACAAGTTAATTATCATTTCAAATAGAATAAAGCAGAGATTTAAAATTTGGGTTGTGAAATTGAGTATTAAGATAATTTCTTTGTGATTTATACATATTCACATTAACATCCCCCAAACAAAACACTTGGGCAACTTTTATCTATGAATATATTACTCACCTACCTAATTATCTACCTATTATCTATCCATAATTTTAATAATTATCTTCATAAAGCAATACTTAGCATTTGCATGCAGTATTTCTTATTTTCTTTTTTTAAAAAAATCCTGCAGTGCAGGTGTAATTACACCAAGGAAAAGATTAATGAATTTCTCAAAGTGACACAGTCAATAAATAGCATCACTATATATATGTGTATATATATATATATATATATATATATATAGTACCAGGGATTGAACTTGGGACCTTGTGCTTGCAAGGCCAGCACCAGAACCACTGAGCTAAATCCCTGGACCAACATCACCATATTTTTTAAATCTCATCTTGGGCCAATTCCAATAATTACTCTTTGTGACAATTGACATGAATTAGCTGATATGGCATTAAAAGTGACATAGGTAAGCTCAGTTTTGTCACTGAATTTATTTCTTCATTTCTGAAAATACAGAGTCTGGTAAACTGAGAGGTAGAGGGTGAGAGGGAGAAAGAGAGGGGGAAAGACAGCCCTGCTGTATCTTGGATATACTGGTTACCATAAAAGTATGACACTTGAATTAGACGTGTGAGTAGTAGTTAAGTGTAAGAGTAGTTATGTGTGAGTAACTGAAATCTGTAATGAAAATTTTAGAAAGCTATAACAACATAAAAACGTGTTCTAGACTAATAGGTAACTGCAACTATTTTAAATTTTAAATTTTAACCGCATATGTGGGTATGTATTATAGAATATACATATTAATACAAATGCTACAGTATTTCATACATTATGTGTAAATGAGCACTTTAATGAAAATAAACACACTGTTAGAAATATGTTACTCATTTTTTCCAAAGGTCCTATTAAATATAATGTCTTCTAAAATTGGTTCCCTTAAACAAGTCACAGATGTTTGTGCTCTGCTTCTCAGAGATTAGTGGTTCCATGGAGTTTTTCTCCACAGTGCATCTAGTAGACCCCGAAGGGCACAGGAGATTTTCTGTCCTTCTGAGTATAGAATGTCATCATCTTTGAGAGTAGTACCATTGCTTCATGACCTTAGCTAATTCTTTGATTTTATCATAATACACTCTTGGTTAACTATGTACTAAATAGCACAACTGATTTTAGATATTTTTGTCACTAATTCCTTTCATTTTTAATGCAAGTTTAAGTAGAGCTTAGAGTTAATTTTGCAACTTCCCTTCAATCAGTGCTTCTTGTATGGGTATCAACTTCCTATACTGCAGACACTTTAGAAACACATTGAAGTTTTTAGAGCCAAAATGTGTTTTATATATAGCTTTAGGACATTGAATCAAAACTAGCACTTTAAAAAAGGGGAGAAAGAGAGGCAGTAGATCAAATTCCTAATATTTTAAATAAGGACACTTAGGTTTACCAAAATCATCTTTTTGATCTAAGAATTTGTCTACCAATGTTTGTAGTTGATTTTTAATAATACCAGGTTATTTTGGGTCTCCTCTAATCCTTTGTCTTTTTCACCTCAGATTTCACAAAAAGAAATGGTTGCAGGCAATTTTACTGTTGTTACTGAGTTCATTCTTTTGGGACTGACAGATAAAGAAGAACTAAAAGTCGTGCTTTTTGTGTTGTTCCTGGGGATTTACGTCATTACCTTGGTGGGAAATGTGGGCATGATACTCTTAATCCAAATCACCCCGAAGCTCAACACACCCACGTACTTTTTCCTTAGTTGCCTCTCCTTTGTAGATGCCTGCTATTCCTCCGTCATTGCCCCAGAATTGCTGATCACCTTCTTGGTGGTGAGGGAAACCATCTCGCTCTCTGGCTGCATCATACAGCATTTGTTTTTTGGGGTGTTCATCACCACGGAAGGCTTTCTGCTCTCAGTGATGGCTTACGATCGTTATGTGGCCATTGCCCACCCTCTCTTCTACAACGTGGCCATGTCTAGGAGAAAGTGTGTAGTGCTTGTGACTGGGTCTTGTACCGGAGGACTGATCAACTCCCTGGTACACACAGGAAGCTTGGGGAGACTGTCCTTTTGTGGGCCCAATGTCGTGAGTCACTTCTTTTGCGATACTCCCCCACTGCTAAAACTATCATGTTCTAGCACCTTCATGAATGAGTTTTTGCTTTTACTCTTTTCCAGAGTCATTGCAATAGCCACTTTCTTGATTGTGATCATTTCCTATGTACTCATAGCCTTTGCTATTCTGCAAATCCGCTCAGCCCCAGGCAGATGGAAAGCCTTTTTCACCTGTGCCTCGCACCTGACTGCTGTGACCATATTCTATGGCACCTTAAGTTTTAATTACATTCAGCCAAGCTCCCAGTATTCTGTGCAACAGGAAAAGGTGGTTTCTGTGTTCTATACATTAGTGATTCCCATGTTAAACCCACTGATTTACAGCCTCAGGAACAAAGCAGTAAAAGATGCTGTGAAATGGGCCATAGAACTGAAACGTTTCTCATGTTAATTTCAAGTCTGTATTAATTATATACACTTTCTGCCAGGCAGTCTTCAGCTACTAACATTCACGTGAATTCAATGATGTTAGTTTCTTGTACTTTCATAGATCACTGTGTAATACATATTCATTGTTCACAAGAGGGCAGAAGAGGCCAGAAAGTTGAAGTAACTTGGTGCAGAATTTCATTTTAGCAAAATTAAAATTCAACTTTTCTGAGATATTAGGTTATTAATATTCAAGTCAACCAACCTAAGAACTGCATGTATCTTTTACTATCTGGAAAACTGAATAAATACATGAGTGTTTGTATGCTTGTGGACATATAACATAGTAGGAATAATTCTATGAAATTTTAACATTTATTTTTTACATTAAACTAATTATATGACTGATATTTGCTTTAATATTTAAAACTTGCCATTAATTTTCAAATACCCATATATCTTCATGTTACAGACCCAAACAATTTAAAGATTTTCATTCATCCAGTTACATAGCATCAACTATTAAAGTATCAATGGAAAATAGGACAACTGATTTTAGATGTTTTTGTCACTAATTCCTTTTATTTTTAATACAAGTTTAAGTAGAGCTTAGAGTTAATTTTGCAACTTCCCTTCAATCAGCGCTTCTTGTATGGGTATCAACTTCCTATACTGCAGACACTTTAGAAACACATTGAAGTTTTTAGAGCCAGAATGTATTTTATATATATAATTTGGGAGGTCTGATCTTTTTAAGTTCTTTATAGATTCAAGATAGTAGATCTTTGTCTGAGGAAAAGCAGGTGAAGATTTTTTTCCCACATTGTGGGTTGTCTCTTCACACTGCTGGTGGTTTCTCTTGCT